GAGAGAGAGAGAGAGAAAAAACAAGAAGGTAGAGTGAGCCAGAGGTTGTCGTCAGTTCTCAATCCCACTTCTAGGGGCATCGGGGCGAAAGCTGCCCTTGAAACCCAGCATCCAACCAACAGTCGGGCGTCCCCTCACGGTGGTTTCGCTCCTGAGGCCTGATGAAACACCAAGATAGGGGTGCCCTGGGTGGCCCGGGAGCTTTACTCCATCACTTGCCCTGGAGAAGAGGCAGAGGAGTGAGAGGGAGTGCGGGAGAGAGAGAGAGAGAGAGACGCGCGCGCGGGCAGAGGGCCAGCGCAGAGAGCCCTTGAAACCTCCATCTAGTATCGCCTTTTTGCCGAGGGTTGCTCATAGCTGCGATCAGTGCCTTCGCTCGTGAGCGCCTGCAACGTCGGGGGCGCACCAGCGCGCGCTGTCGGGGGATTTCCCCCTGCATCATAGCCCTGGCGAAAGAGAGAGACGGAGGGACGCGCGCAAGGCAGCACTTCGCCAACAATGTACCATGGCGCAGCACCCTGGGGGAACTTGTGGTCGTTGGTTGTTTGTGCCAATACCCCAGCGGAGCTCGCCTGCCAAGTACTGCTTTGGCAAAGCTTTGAGACCTCGATGCACACGTAGAGTGTTGGCTGGCTTGGTTCTACTACTCAACCTTTGGTTACCTATTTTTGCAGCCTCGTTGCCGAAAGACAGCCCAACACTGTAGCCGGTTCAAAAGCGAGAGATTCTGCAAGCATATGCTGCTGTAGGGAGGGAGGGAGGGTTTGACCCCGCAGTGACACACGCACGTTGAAGCGGATTTCTTTGAGGATATCCCGTTGCAGCCTGCCGAACATGCTTTTGATGTTTCATGGCTTTGTGTTTTGTCGCTGCATGTCACCTTTGACACAGTGTTATATCGCGGTATGCAATTACTCGGTGTATTCCTTGGTGACTGTGAACTTTTGCACGGACCATTCCTATGATGCCCTTTGCCTGCTGAACATGTCGAAAGCCAATCTTGCAGTCAGACATGTCCTGCATCGAAGTGCAGTTTGAATTGAACTGAGCTTATTTTTGTTCGTAGTCCGTCTTGTGCTTTCTCTACCAAAGTCACGCACAGGCAGGGGGTTCCCCTTTTCCGTCCGAGCTCTTGCCGTTGTTTGAACCTTGTGGTGACATCGTTCCCAAACATGCTTGCAGACTGCACTCAGGAGTTGTTCACGGCACTGCGACCGTTCATATTACCGACGAAACGAGCCTCGCTTGCACTGCACAAGCAGACATGCCTGTTGGTGTTGTGCCACTTTGCAGATGCCTCGCTCTGCGATCCATGCATGCCATCAGAGGAAGCAACTCATGAAGGTATGGAAGGCACCTGGGAGCATTCTCTGTGAGAACAGAGTGGGTCGGCACGGAGGTGTCGTGTCCTGACCCTGTGCCCACAGTGCGTGAACTGTTGGGAGGTCCTGCTGCTCTTTACCGGGGCTGTCGTCAGCTTCGGAAGAAAAATCGTGCAGGAGCCTTTGCCTACGCAGCCATCCAACCAACAATTAGAGTCCGACGCGCGAGGCTCGAAACGGGAATCACAACACGAACGCCAGCACTGCATGAACCCCTCAGCGGCTGAACCAGCTATCATGCTCTGGACAACACCCCCGAGGTAGCATGATTCCGTTTTAATTGCAGGACCACCGCGCTTCGATGGAGACAGACTCCGCAGACAAGGTTCATGATGAACTCGGATCTCTAGCCTGCTTCTTTGGTAAAGGCATGCGGGCTGATGATCTATCAGTCGTGTTCTGTGGTGTGCAGGAGTTTGGTATGGCCAGCCTTCAGCGATTTGAAGCGAAGGACAAGACCGGGGCAGAAAAACAGGGCACCGACGGGGCAGGCACAGGCAGCGATTTCTTTCGTCTGTCCTGAACTGAGAGGCCATGGAATTGCTGGCTCACCTAGAGAGCCGCTGGGATGATGTCATCGTGTTTGTTGGGTAAGATTGTTCAGGCACCCGGCCTGCTGTCAGAAACTGAGGCCAAGTTGAGAACCAAAGCCACGGGCAGGAAGCTGCTGCAGCCTCAGACAGCAGACCGGGAAAGTAAGCAGATGTGCCGCCACAGCGACTGCCACGATACGTGATGGCAGGCCATGCAGCTACTGGCAAAGCTGGAAAGCTTCTTGTTGGATGTTGGACGTGTTGCAACCGCAGTACATCTGAGTGCAAACACAACTTGGACTTTTTTGCAGGTTCCAAAGGATTCGCAAAATGGCCTCTCTTGTAATCTGAGGCAAAATCAACAGCTCCGATGCTCACCGCAATATTGAGCAGGACGTGCCTCGCCAGCAGCATGAACAGCAGGTGCCGACAGCATAGCCGCCGTGCTGCACACAGTGTTGACGGCGACCAAGCACAATCCGAAAGACAGGGACCTGCACATACCCCAGCTCAGCAGTTGCAGACCGAATCTTCAAGAATTGGCAGGCACCGCAGATCGTCACCATACCGCAACCTGCCATGCTTCCAGCAGCTCAGTTGTTCAGCACCGCTTTTGGTTTTGGTCTTGGGCCTGGGTTGCAAGTTGCGACATCTGAGTCTGAGGCGCGAAACAGTTCGAATTCGATGGAAATGCCGCTTGCCTTGGCTCGGACTCCGCCGGTCTGCCGATCCACGCTCCGCAGAATCCGAGGTTCGAGGGATGCAAGGCTTCCAGCCCCGTGGAGGCCGACCCGACCTCCTTTATTTCCGTGCTGACGGCGCGCTTTTGCAAGGCCTTGCTCCGACGAGCCAGCCAAGTGCACGAGGAAGAAACCCAGGCCGGGGGGGGGCGGCCTCTCTAAGGAGGGTTGGATTGAAGCGCCAAGTCGTTTCTGTGTTCCGTTTTGCTGTCACGGTCCTTCTCTCAGGAGGCTCTCAACGAGTCGACCTTGGGTGCAAGGCCGGATACCCAGCTGATTAGGAAGACCCACAGTTCATTACGCAAATTTTCTGAGGGTTTCCGGAGTTTCCGGTGCTCCGAGCCCGGAATGCCCGCACAGCTTGCAAGCCGGAGAACCAAGCGCCCGAACTCAAGTTCTTGATTGCCGCCCCCCCCCCCCCCNNCCCCCCCCCCCCCCCCCGCCCAGGCTGTCTCGAGTTGTGAACTACTGGAACAGTCACTGGAATTAAAGGTGCGTCTTCGCGATGCAGGTTTCGAAGCCCTGAACCGCTCCAGCCTAGACTTGCCTAGACCCATGATTTAGGTCCTACAGTCCTAGAGACCTTCGAGATCAGAAGTCCCCGACTGAACCGTGTTGTCTCTCAGGTGTAAACTGTACCAGACGCCAATCACGCATTACCGTTGGGATGAAGCAGCTGCAAGCAGCAGCTGCTGCGACGGCCGCAGCAAGGACAACATGTTCTGCAGAAGCTGCTGTTACGTGTGTCTTCGTTCTCACTCAAGTCTGGCTTGTCAATGGGTGTCTCCTGAAGTGAAGTCGAGCATCCGCCAACGACTGGCGGCTTGGGAGCCCTCACACTCAAATCTTGCTTGGGTCTTGGTGCCGACAGTGTTAAGCGTAGCGTAGCGAGCAAGTAGACGCATGGTCGAAGCCGTTTGCATGCCAGCGGAGGACTGCAGCGGATGTGAAAAGATGGGCCCCTTGATCCGGGTGGTTCCAGACAAGCTTCAGAGAGGGACTCCAACTCTTGCAAGACTCAGCTCTGGCTCGCGGAGATTTGTGGCTCCAGCGGGTCTCAGGGCAAGTTTGACTGTGGCCATCGGGTCGTGAATTTGAATGTCCCGCAGCAGCTTCGAGCTTTCGCAGTTGGCAGTGAAGTCACCACCGAGGAAACGGCAAGTGCGACGTCCGCGAAGCCGCTTTTGTCAAGCTGGAGGGAGACGATATGTACCTCCGGCTTCAAGAGAGCCTAAGGATTCGAGAAATTCCCAGTCTGAGGTTCCAGCTGGATCGGAAGCCTCGAAAGTTGCAAAAGTATAATCTTCAGCCTTGTCATTAGATGGCTTGAGGTTGGAGGCGTTGGAACCAGGGGCGGAATGAATTGCCCAAGCTTGCTGATGAGTCATGGCCTTCAAGGTTTCAAGGCGTTGAGGTAGCCCGGTAGCCCGGACTGGCATTGCACCTCTGCTTCTCCCAGGCACACTGCGTGCATGGACATTACCTGGGTGGATGTCAAAGGAAAGACGTGTGCGCCGGCTGGAACACTCTTTGCTGATTGTTGTTTCGCACCATATCCGTGGTTCACTCCAGCAGGCAGGACTCCACGAGCAGCGTAGTCCAGGTGGAAGATGAATTCACTTAAACTTGAAGTCCTGAAGCTTAAGTGTGGAGAGGGCCAGGGGGCCAGGGCCGATCCTAAGCTGAGGTCGGCAGCTGAGTTCTGCGGACTGCAACGACTTTCGATTCCAGGGCACGAGCAGCCGAGAAGCCTGCTGCAAGTGCGGAGGCGAAGATCCCAGAGTCTGCCGTCTTTTCGCATGATTCCAAGCGCTTATGCAAGGGTTTGCCTCGAAGGCTTGTCCAGATTGAGGTTGCAGGAATGTTGGGGCAATCAACGCTTCTCACTGCATGATACGCACGGAAGCAGATGTAGCATTTCGGCTTTCGCATGTACCTGTCCAATGAGTTCAATGAGAGGCGGTATCAAGACGGCTACTCCTTTCAAGTATGACGACTACACGCTCCTCGCCTGCCAGGGTTGTGGTTCGCTAGTTGAAGCGTGGCCTCGAGATTGTGATACGCCGCCACAAGAATGGGCGAATGTTCGCCTTGGGTTTGGTGGATTCACTCGTCGGGCTCCTCTCTGCAAGACTACAAGCGTCTGTGAGCTTTCCAATCCTGAGCCGAAGCCGTCTGCAGAAGACACAAAGCTCCTTGACTTGCACCAGTGGCAGGTACATTCTTGGTGAGCGAGTGTCCTTGTGGCCGCAGCCTCGCACGGCCACGCGCTACGGTCTCGACGAGAACTGCGAATTTGCTGGGGCCCTAGCAGTGGCCGTGGCAAGGAACGGTTCTTTCAAAGCACGAACCTTGCACCACATCTCCTTCACCCTTGCCCCTTCCCTTTTGCAAACAACGAGTTGAAAACCGTGCTTAGTTCGTAGAAGGTGGAGACCCGAAGGAAGGCTTTGACAAAAAAGTCATCTGGGGCCCCAAGACTATGGAAGAAACGCCTAAGCTGGGAAGGGTCCTGGGATGTTAAGCTCAGGCCCTGTACAACTTGACCTTGAACGGTGCGACTGGCGAGGCCTGTGGTGTGAGCGAGTTATCGTGTGTCGAAAAGCCGGACTCGCGTAGTTTCTGGCCCCGCATCCCTCACTCAACGGGTTTGCCTGCGCTCGTGTGTCCAGTGCTTAGGGACGTTACAGCCTAGGTGCGGAGTTGGATATCTATTCTGCTCTAGACCATGACAAGTCCATAACCCCAGAACCCAGTAGCCAGCAGGCATCAGGCTCCTCCTCCCCAGCTACGGATGTTTGGACACTCGCCCCAGCCGGAATTGTTGTGCTCAAGCCAGAATTCCATGTCTTGCGTGGGAAGCCCGACATCAAGAGTGCATCCCACGAAGGCATCATACGCCATGGAAGTCGACCCTGTCAGCATGTTACAAGGAGGGCAGCGAAAGTCGAACAGTGAATCACTCTCGTCGACACTTTGACCCCAAAATGATGGACATCTCTTCACCAAAGCCTCAAAGACAAACCCAGCGGCTCGAATGGCGTCATTCCATCGGCTGCGATGCGCGCCTTTGAACCGGGCGCAGTGGTGGCGAGGCTTTGAAAGGGCTTCGGGTTAGGTTTGGGAATCATCTCTCTGTCGCACGCACGGCAGCCTTCTGTCATGCGAACCAGGTACAAAGAAGATGGGTCATTTGATGCACGGATCAGAAGCTGCAACACAATGTACGTTTGGAGCTATGTAATGCATTGTCAACGGCATGTGACGTGATTCTTCCAACCGTTCATGGTTGTCAGACCCGAATTCTCTCTCCCCTCGAGCTGTCTCCGCCTGATGCTTGCCGCACCACCTCTCGCCACGGTGCGGTGCAAATCTTGATTTTGGACTGCGGGGTTGTTGCAGTGGGTCTTTCACTGTCGGTTTATGCCCGCATTGAATGGAGTTTGGGCCGGCTTCGGGAGCCTCAACACTTCCTAAATCCTGAGGTTCAAAGACACACCCCGAAGTCACCGGCAGCGTCTTCAGTTGCCTGCCCAGATCCATCAGATCCAATTGACTCTGCAGGTTCCCGTCTCCATGCCTCCGATGCCACGCTTCGCAGCCATGGCGACGTGAACGTGGGACACCTGGCTGGTGCCATCAAGGCGGGTATAGGGTCGCCCTGGGCGAGGATAAAATCCAGTCCCAAGCCGCGAGGCGCCGCTTTCGCGGGGTGAGACTTGTGCCGTGGATGCAGTCGGTCCGGCCGCACTACTCAAGGCGTTGAAGGCACGGTGGGGCTTCCAGACCTCTGAAGACAATTTTGTGGTAATGTGCGAGGTTAGGTGTTTCGTGTGGCATTAGGCGATTCAGAGATAGGACGAGGGTGTTCGGAGCGGAAGTGCAGCTCTCATTGCAGACGGCCCATTTCCCTGAACTGCATTACATGTAAGCTTTTCTCTTCGCCAATAGCAGACTTGAAAAGTTCGCTTCGGGAAGGCCATGATCTTTGCAAGCGACTACTTGCAGGACTTGCTCCTCACGATTCCTCTGATGCTACGGTCTCGCTCGAGCCATCGTGGTCCCAGCTTCACACGCGTTTTTTGGCAAAGCTGTAAGCTTTGGGCACAGGAGCAGCGTCCAGGCTTCCGTGTAGCTGGTGAGCCCCGCTTGGAGAGCGTCCCTGCCTCAGCGGAGCAGCCCGAGACGACGAAGCTGCGAATGCATCTGCCACTTCAGCTGCAAGGAGCCAGACGTGCTGAGACGTGCACCATGCCCTGACAAGCAACGGAGGTCCTTGGTGCCAGAGCCACCATTCCAAAGCGCTGAAGCTCTTCTGCTGCACAAACTCTCTAGCGAAACATTCAGAGTTCCTGCCGGCACGTCTTAGCTCCCGGCGAATTCGAATGAGTTGCCTGGAACAAGGTAGACTTCAGGTTCGGCAGAGACACCAACCCTGGCATTGCAGCCGCCACCCTCGCTCAAAAGATCAAGCTCCAAGGCAGCTGTCACGCTGAGAGACGTGAGCTCTCCCTACTCGTAGGAAGACGTTGACAGATACGGCCAAGTGAGTGGCAGGTCGAACGACTGTGTCTGCAATGGGAGCCCTGCCAGCTTCTAAAGCGCTGAAGTCCGTCATTATTGCGCAGAGGACTCTTGGCCGTGGGTTTAAAGTTGAAAGGCGCCTGCTTGAAAGGCTTACCTCTCTCTGCTCGTCTAGGAGTGAAAGGTTTTTTGTTCGAGCCCCTGTTTGCGACCCCTAAACCCGATTTTCGCTTCAACTGTTTGTGTGTTCAGGGCGGGCTTGCTGGCTGCCACTTGTATCTTGACCCCCACTCTTCTGTATTCAGAGCATCTGCTCAAGAAATGAGCAATGACCACTCGTGCCGCGATTGTCGGTTATGGCTGCTGTCCCGAATCCAGGGGTCCCTATCGGAGCAGTTGTTGCCACTGTTTATAGAAATGCCACCGAGAGCTTCTGCTTCTACTGCTCACTCATGTGGCGGGAGATCCCTCAATCGTCTAGCATAGAGCGAAACTCTCACGAGCGGATAGCTCGGCAGGTACTTGCACGAGCACCTGGGTGAAGAGGTGCTGTTGGTGGTGCCTGCCACGCAAGTGCTGAAACAGGGCCGCGCAGTGGGCGACGAGGAGTCTCCTCTGCGACGGCCCTACGCTTCCCACTTAGCGTAGCGACGTAGCGATGCCCTGAGAGGAAGTGGTGCGGCTGCGTTTGGCTCTTCTGCCCGGGCAGAGCCAGCGCTGAGTCGGCGTGTGGGATCGGTGTCAAATGCAAGCGGGATGGACCTCTTGAAGCAATCTGGAGAAGATGAAAGCGCATCGACTCAGACGGCGACGTTCTGCTTCCAAGCCTTGCGTTTATGCTTCAAAGGTAAACTCTTCACCGAAAGGCAGCCAACGAGCAACAGGCAAGTCGACAGTTCACTTGAGGGCCTGGAACATGCAGGTGAAGGTTGGAATCTTCGGTTTGTTGAGTGTGCCTGGGAGCTTTCTCCTCCAATGCTAGGGAGGGATTGTAGGCTTGGGCGGTTTGCGACCTCGCATGTTCTGGGGCCATTGCCACAAAGCACCTCAAGACAGGGTGCAGAAGCACCTGTACCTCCTTCTAGCTTCCACCCCAAGGTATACTGTGGCTCCACCGTCACGGAAACCCCACAATGATCCTGCCAATAGCCGAGCCCTCCACGCTCCACCAAGTGCGGCTGCAATTGCTTGAAGGAGCTTTTCGATATGGCCATAAGCTCAGGCGGCACAGATTGAACTAGCAAAGAAGATGGTGCCGCAGTGATCACAGCTTCGTGTATGAGATCTATTTTCATGGTCTGGCCGGATTGGTGCATGATCAGCGGTCTAGAGACGAAATTCCACTAACCGAGTACTGATTCCTGATACAGTGCCAAACGTCTACACAGGGTCTTGTTTGCAAAGCCTGAGAATTGCATGCTCAGGCAGTTAGCACTGAAGAAATAAGCTTTCCTGCAAGATTCTTCAAGAGAGGCCTTTATGCTTGTCAAATTCGCCTGCAAAACCCCCCAAGCTTTGCACACGAGGCTTCGCCCAGCTTGCGCGCTGCCAGCGTTGTTCCCAGAACAACTTGACTGGCCAGACGGATCGCTGACTCTCAGGGGGCTTCACTGGATCAAAAAGGTGCATGCGGCTTCGGCCCAGTCGTCTCACTCGCTTGACGCTCGACCGCCTCTACTTTATTCCGGTGGCCTCTGCAATTTTCTTGGGCCGTAAGTGTCTCGAGCTGTGCGGTGCAGTCTTGCCTTGAAACCGAGTGTGGAAATCTTGTCCGCAGGTGACCTTCATCAAGGGCGCCGGGAAGCCCAAGGACCCTTTCAAAATCAGCTGCAAGGCAGGGTCTCCACGCACCGACTCAATGACTCGCAAATCCGAAGTCTCGAGTCTGACACCAGACTCATTTTTTCGACTTGACCCCTGGGCTTAGACGCTCGGCTCGTGCTCAACATGGTAAACATCAGGAACGTACTCACGCACCCATGCACTGCTGTGGACCAGTAGGCAAAGCATCAACGGAGGTCACGGCCTTCCAGCCGCATCATCTGTTCTTCACGGCAGCTTTTCGGGAATCACGGCATTGGCACTTTGTTATTAACCTGCAGTGGATGTGACCGGAAGGTTTTTGTTGAGCTCAGGATGCCTCTCCAACCCCGTAGACCCTGTCGCCTGTTGGCGCCGTAGGTCGTAGGAACTCGTAGCTTGCATAGGCAGCTGCACGCAGACCCTGCAGCATGAGAGGTTTTTGTGCTAGGGCTCTGCAGGATCGTCGCATCGAAGATTTTGCAGCGTAAATGAAAGCATGCTCTAAGGCCACCGTGACAGTGGCGATGGCCGAGCTGTCATACGGCCCTTCTGTATTGCTGCGGAGACCTCAGAGTTAGAGCGGTGACTGCTTCGTGAGCTGCCTTGGAGGCTTGGAAGGTGGTGATGCGCGTGTGTGCCTGTGTGTGCGTGCGTGTGCTTGCTCGTGTTTGTTGGCGAGTGCTAGGGTTTTTGGCCTGCCTGTGCTTCAAAAAGAAAGACGACGCTTGAGTCAGCGTGCAGACGCCGTTCTCGCGACTGCGGTCTTCTCATCCCGATGTACTGCAAGCCACCGTTATCAGGTAATTTGGTTCGACCTTCTTGGGACGGAATCTCTGTGCGATTCGGGTCTTCCAGCCCCCACAGAATCAGATTTTCAATGCGAGTCTTGTCACCTTGAACCTCAACCTGCTCAGGTTCACTGCCAAGACAAAAAGCCACTCCCTGCAGAAGTTCGCTCCACCCAAGAGTCAGTGGAAGGACAGTGTAAGGGCTTGTAGTCCAAGCACAAGGCTCTTAAATCCGAAATCCTCGATCCTCGGTCCTCTCAGGGAGGATCCCAAGCGAGCCCCAGGACTTCCAGAAGATGTGTGCGCCGGATGCAAAGTGGGTGACGATGGACAGCACGGGGCATTTCGGCAGAAGAGCGTTCGTAATGGCGTCTTGAGGCAGGTGCTTCGCCCGAAGGAACGACTCCACATCGTGTTGCGCTTGTGGTCCCCCAGTCATGAAATCTGATCTGTGCCAAGGGACTTGAAGCTCGCCTCGGCGCCAGAGACAGGTGCTGTGGACAGCGTGAAGGCGCTTGGCTTGAGCTTGGCTTGGAGGGGTTCCGGGCCGGACGAGTCAATGTCTCAGTTCGCCCTGCCTCTTCTTCGCCAGGACCTCTACAAAGGCCAGACAGCGACAGTCTGCCATGTCTCTGCGATGCTGCGAAAGAGCCCAACTGCAGACTGGGAGAAGAAGTCCGTCGATGCCACTCCCACAGCACGAGATTCAGGGACTTTAGCACCGCGTGTCAGTGCATGAGGTTTGCTCTGGAGCTTGGCATTTGCACTTCAAAGGCGAGCATTAGAACTATTGGGGGCAGGATCGTAGCTTCCCTCCGATGCGTGACGGGACCAAGCCTGCCCGATCAGTCAGCCTTAAGCCGTGCATCTGTCCTTGATTGCCAAAGCCAGACCAATCAGCACTGCCAGCCGACGCAGCGCTGTCAGACCCGCACTAGTCCCCGGTCTTCTGAGTTTATCCTCGTCAAGCCGAGCCCCGCGAAGAAGTTGTCCTACTCTACGAGCCTCATCGCCAGCGGCTGGGCCTTTTAAAGCCTTGGGTCAGGGCTGCGCTCCAGCGTCCAGAAGATCATAATAGGTACTTTCGAGGCTTTGTTCGACGTGGCGCAGCATACACATCTGGTTCTGGGTGTGGAATGTTTGCCCGACTGACACTGTGATGGTCCACAGCTTCAGCCCGAGAGAGAGGGAGAGAGAGTGAGAGAGTTGCATTCGAACTGCGAAAAGACGGGGGAATTCTTGAAGACTCATAAACTTTTGATTCGAGTTCCTTGCGCCGCCGTGATGCCCTAAACCTCGCTGCCTGTTGCCTGAATCTCGAGGCTCCATTTCGCAAGTGGTGCCGCCGGTTCTTCCAGTGCCCTTCAAGGAAGGTGCAGGGGCCTGTCTCGCTTGGTTTAGGCTGTGGGGTTCAGGGTCACGATGCTACTGGTTGCCACAACTGCCAGTAGAAGCGGTGAATGCGGAGCCAGGCAAGTTGCGTCGGCTCTCGATTGAAGGAAGACTGAAGAAGATTTTCGAAACATTGGCAGGCGGTAGTGCAATAACTTTGGCAACTTGCGCTAATCAAGCGCCTTTCTGATTCTTGTCCAGAGTGCAGGGAGCTCCACAAAAACTCGGTAGAAGTTTCACCGGGCCAAGATGCTTCCGCTTGGGTTTGCAGGGGCGGTCGGAAGTTCGAGGTTCTGCGGCAGATATGAGCAGTGGTTCTGGAGATGTCCGACCCGGTGTCGCGCCCCGCTTCAAAGTCCTGATATCCAGGCGAGATGCCGCCCAATGCTTACACGATGCGCTGCGACAAGGCACCCGGATTTGAGGGCCTGTCGGGAAGGGGTCGGGTCGTCGGGTCTTGACCCTGAGCTTGGAGAGGCGGGCTTCACCTTCGACAGCCTCCACGGCATCGGGTCTCCTGTTTCCATTTCACGGAACTTCGCTGAGTCGCTGAAGCGCGAATTCGCAGCCAAGGTTCTACAACGGCCATCCCCTGCTGGTGCGCCGGGATCTGTTCGGGAACTGTTGGCAGCTTCCGAACTGGCGAGAGCCACGGAAGCCACGTAAAGCTACGTACACAGCTCAACTTGCCAAGCCTCCAAGCGTGCGATTTTGGATCCGAACGCCCAGAAGTAGCGCAGCATGGTATGCCTGGTATGCCTGAGCTGCTCGCAGGAGCTGCAGCCCAACGGCCAGCTGAGCCTAAACATCGGTCCCTCCTTTGCTGCTTGCATATTTGAGATGATATCTGATAAGGGTGGCATCTACACGCCCGGGTAGGGTGAGCTTCGTAGCTGGGTGACCTGGTAAATCTGCTAGGGCTCAGGGTTAATCTTAGTCTTAGTCCGAGGCTTTGATTCTATCTTTTGCAGGGCGTTGGGAACCTGCACAGCCTGTGACAGAACTCAATGAGAATCCGGCATGCGCGAGATCTTCAAAACCTGGCTGAGGTACACATCTTCGACAGCATGGGCAGCAGCAAGCACAACAAGAAGGCCTTTCGACTTTGAGAGCATCGAGTGATGCCAAGGTCTAAACCCACAGATCACAGAGCTATGGAACATCGAGATGGATCAATCCTTAGCCAACTGGTTCTACGCTTGTAATCACAGAAAACTCTCTCCGTGTCCGAGGCAGAAGTGCAGGTGCCTCCAGCGTCCCAGAATCTGTCGAAAGACTCGTCGAAAGACCTGAAGCTCGAATCACACGCTCTTGAATTCTCTCGGACGAGCTTACAGCTTGCCGGAGACCTTGATAGATGGCATTGCCAAATGCGTGTAAAGCTTGGAGGGTGCTTCATTCGCTTCGCAGATCGGCTTGCTGGACTTGAAGCTGAAGTGCCGCATCTTCGGGTCCTTCGGGGATCAAGCGCCCCGGATAAATAGATTCGAAGTGCCTGGTTGGTCTCGGAGACTTCAATTACTGGGGCTTGCCTGCGGAACAACAACTGGGGCAACAACTTCTGCAAGCGCACGCGCAGCCGGCCTCGAAACTCCCACGCCGCGACCCTTATGCCTTTATGCCAAATGCCAGAAGCATGCTCAATGTTCAGGCGGAGATGATTCAGGCAACGGTCTTGGGGACGACGTCTAGGTGCATCAACTGGCTACTCCGAATCGCGAACCCTGAAGCCCAGAAGATTCTTCAAGAGCTCGCCTCCCCGCCTCAGTTTCGAGGAACTCGCACCCATCTCCGCACGCATGGACATCGCGGTGTCGGATTCCACCTGTTGGGTGGAGGCCGCCCTACCTTGTGCTGTGAGAATTAGGCTTTTAAGATCAAGGCTGAAGGGAACTAGATTTAAACTCTTCGCGGCGTCCGCCTCGGCGCGGCTGTACTTGAAGCAGGAGCATTTTTTCGGAAAGCAACAGGTGGGTCACACAGGGAAGGTCTTGCATGAAGGAGTGCATTTGCTTCAGAACGCGGTAGTTTTTAATATCAGTATTGGTTTTCATGATGAGGCTCTGAGCAGTACTCCCACGCGACAGGTGGCACATTTGCTGCATTATCCTATAGAGGTTGCGATAAAAAATGGTACTACACTTCTCGCTCCCAGATGTTGGAAGAGAAAGGGGGAATCAAGCTTTGCAACGAAGTACCAGAATTCCCAGGCTTTGGCATCAACTTCACGAATGATGTAAGCTGGCCTGTCTTGCTTCGCCCGCCGCAAGGAAGAGACAAGGGAAGGGAGAAACGGGAGTGGGGGTGGGGGGGAGGAGGGGGTGGGGCGGCAACAGCAGCCCCAAAAAAAGGGGGGTGGGGCTTGAAAAGCGGTGGGTCATTGGGGAGGGGATTAAGAGGTGGGGACACAGGAATTGTTGTTGGAGCCTCTGACCGCTTCGGCCGGGGTCGACTTGGGCTTTAGCAGAAGCAGATGAGCTGCAAGCAGGGTAGTGGAAACAGGCATTGCTGGCAAACCGACTCCTAGGCGCACCGTCATACCTGCTGGAAAGGCTCGCTTTTACTCCCGCTGGCGCAGGAGAAGATCCCTTGTCGCAAGACCCATCGCTGGACCCACGTGACCAGCCATGCGCAATGCCAACACACGTGCAGGACGATGGCTTGGGAGTGTTTCGGGTCCCTGGAAACCATACTTACCCAAGTCTCGCACCCCAAGCCCAAAACCCTTCTAAATAGAGATGCCATGTGTTCAAGGTGTTGAGGTTGAGTCATACTGATGCAATGCCCGACGCGAACATGTAGATTGCTCGGCAGGGCGGGAGTGTTTCATGCTCGCACCCATCGCGAGTCCAACTTTCACTACTTGAAGAGTGGCTGCGGCAGGAATACCGCAAGCTGCTCTCACTACAAATACTGGCGACATGGACGGGTGACTCGGACAAGCAAGTAAAAAAAGTGGCCTTTGCAGGCGTGTTGGCACTGCGACGTTTTTGGGTTGTGGCTGCTGTGCGCGGTCTTTCGTATCGATGTTGGCACTGTCAGGATGTTTCTCTTTTGGGTTGAGATACAACAACAGCAGCAATGGGGGAATTGAATTTTCATTCACATAGAGGAACTCGCCGACGAGAGTAATGCTGGACTAGCAGGACGGCTTAGGGATGTAGAGTAGATTGTGTCGCGGCTGCGACGGGGCTGCTTGTCAGACCGCCTACTGCTACGACACCAAGCTGGACGAGACGAAGACCAGCACCTGCACTGTGTGGTCCAAAGTCCCGGATCCTTGTTCGAACTGTTTTCGAGTGGGCTTCGGTGTACAGAGACAAGAGCGAACTGCGACAGGCAACGGCGAGGTCTTTAGCTTCATATCGAGCTCTGGTCTGTACCTCACCTTACGACAACTAGAAAAGAAGCTCCTGTCGTGAGCACTGCCCTGCGAAACGGAGACATGAAAGAAGCTGATGAAGCTGCCGGAAGAGTCTGTAACGCAATGGAAGATAATTTGGCTCACCGGAAGCTCGGAAGAGTCTTAGTGCGGCCGGGAGAGGAGGGCCCGGTTCCGAGAAGCGATTTGCAGCGTTGAGACAGGATTGCAATCCTATGAGCACCTGCGTCAAAGTGGATGCACCCACCTGGCTGGAACGAGGCAATGCAGTAGTAGAGACTGAGTTACTGGGATGGTGGTCGCTTCGATACAGTCATCCCGGAACCTATCTTTGACAGGCATCTATTGCCCTGTGGGCTACGACATTGACCGGCAGAGCATGACATACCTCAAGGCCGCGAGGGCCTGCATCACGAACCGGCTTAGACACTTCTTTCCCTCAGCTGCGGACGCTGGTACGTCTTTGCCGATCACCCCTACTTACATTCTTCCCTGGCATGCAAGGATGGAAAGACTCCGAAGGAGAGGATCTATCTGCGCCGGTACAAGGCTTGGGACCCTGTAAAGGGAGGGGGCTCTGCTTGTATTTCATGACACTCCCAGCTTCAGAATAAAAAAGATTGTGTTTTTCTTGCTATAGGGACATTCCACGTGCAGCGATTCATCTAGTCGGCCGCCAATGGCTGACCAGGCTGGTGTTGACCAAACCGTGGATGGCTGCACCAACGGCGGATGGCACCTGGGCTGCGACAAGCACGGCGGGATTGGAAGTTTGATAAGGGTTTCCTTCCTCTGCCTCCATAAACGCACGCGGACACCCAGATGGGCGACCTACAGCCTAGATGTGCTCAGGTTGCTGCAAGAGAAGGACGCGAACGACTTCATGAGCTTGTCGAAAGGGATCTTCGAGCTCCCCGCATGCGCGAAAGGGATTTCAGGTCGCTCCTTCAGAGCCGGACTCCTTCAGAGCCGAACCCAACCAAGGTGGTGGGGGGCAGTAAGAAACTCTCAGACTTGGAAGATGTGTGGCAAGGGTCCGCTCAAGCCCTTTAGCCTGGCATCCCGATCCAGAGCCGATGCGTCGCATGCACAAGAGTATGGTCACAGCGGCCGGGCTGGATCTAGAAGCTAAACTAACTAGAGACAGCATGTTGGCCGAGCCTAGGTTCTCCGGACCTCTTGTCGGCTGCCAGGTGAAGGGGGTGAGCATCTGGCCCCAACGCTAGGGCTTTGGGGGTGATAAGCTATTCGAGCATCCCTATAGCCAAGCCTTATAGCTTTAGAGTCGCTGACTCGCCGACCTCTAAGACAGGCATGCGACCGATCTTGTAGGCCAAAGGCTGCTTGTTTAGAGTCTCAAGTGCCAGTAACATTCAGGTGAGTTTTAAGCATTTTGGAGTTGCCGGTGCAAGCACATCCCGCGTCGACCCAGCATCTTCAGCTCACCTTGGCTCTGAGCCTTCAGCGAGGCTACACCGGCCTTCCTTGCGAACAGCCGGGAAACATCACAGAGGCCCAACCCAGTAACTGGAGCTAAGGGCGGGCATTCTGGAGTCCTCCTTGCATGGAGCCGCAGGAAGGGGCCGACATGCAGCCGATTATCTTGGACGACCCGAACACAAAGGATCCTGCTGACTTCTGGCTCCATCCATGCGCCGCATTGGCTGCAATCGCGGGTCCCGAATCCTCCCCGAGTCTCCTTTTTGTTCTCTCCATGTGCGAGTTGTAAGAGAGAGCGGCCTCGGAGCTTCGTCGCCTCTAAGAGTCAGAGCTGAAGCATGAATGCGTCTTGAGATATGATGTCACAACCCCATACTCAGTATCATTTTCCTGCTTGAACGCATCCGCATCGAAGCTGCGGTCTTTTGATGCAGCCCCGAAATGCCACCATCCATCATGCAGGCAGGACGCCATCGAGGCTTCCTTTGGAACCAAGGGATGGGATTTAGGATCGGTTCGCTGCACTCAACCCGGAAGCCATGAATCCGGGGTGGGGTGCGAAACACGCTGTCAAGGAGCCAAGGGAGAGTAGGTTTGCCCTGCTAAGGATTGTGCAAGCAAGGCGAGCTGAGCCAGTTGACATCAGTGTCTGGTGCATTTCCGGGCAGTGAGGTTTCCCGATTTTCCTGGCCAGTGCTGGAACAGAGACCCTTGAAAGCCTCTTTATTGTAAGAAGATAGGAGCATGGCAAACTTCATGGATATTGAATTGGCTGGGCCCACGAGATTTTCAGAGTTCAGCTCTGTGAAGCTCCCACCCAGACTCCGTACCCAAGTCCCCACCTCTGCAGCCCGAGAAAGTTCAGCGCAAGCCCTTGCGAACCGTCCTCGGCAGATGTGGGGCGACAAGCCGCCAGTGGATCCCCAGGTGCATTGTGTTTTCAACGGAGGGTCTTAGTGTTGGAATGTCAGCTGAATTATCAGCCTCTTACTTGCGGATTTGTGGAAGCCTTCCGTTCAGATCCGTTCAGGGTTTCCTGCACACCGTGAGATAAATAACTTACTTGCCGCTCTTTCGCAATGAGGTCTTCGCACAGATGCCACCAGAGTCTGCCGCCCCTCGCTTGCTTCTACTTGGACGACTTGGTCTGGTGTTTGTCGATGTGCCTGGAGTTGGAATGCCATGGCAATTGCCACTAGCAAGCTATCACAAGGAAACCAAACGTTGCTAGAACCAAAGCGCAGTCGCCAAGTACGGCAATGTACGCTTGAATTGAATCGTCAGCATGTAGAGGTCCAGCACGAGGAAACGCCAAAAACTGAAAGGCGCTGAACCATCATCGGAAGGGGCTCTCACAAGAAAGATCTAAGCTCAGGACGATTTTGTTCCGTCCCCGATGATGATCGTTGAAGGTCAGTTTGTTTGTCTGGCACTCAGCAGTACTCACTGGGCAGTGGCACGGGGAGGACTGATCTGGACTCGTTGAGGAGATGACGAGGATACGTTTTGAGGAAGCGGCTGTCTTAAAGCGCCGCTCTCTGCCGGAGGTCCCCCCGGTTGCATGCTCGGGGATGGACCCATCTTCGAAAGCGACATCGAGTCCATGGAGATCGGAGACTGCGAGGCCCCTCGCGTCCGGGTGCGATTGCCTTTGCTTGGGGCTTGAGTTGTCTCACGAAAGGGCTAGGACCTAGGATCAAGAAGGTTGTAAGGACATGCTGGAACCGTTGGGAGTTGTGGCAATCAATGCCTGCGCTGCGACACAGCCCCCTACTCTGCTACAGTGGGAATATCCAAGCTGTGCAATCATGGTCAGACGAAGCGTTCCGACGCGCGACTTTCCTTTGCTCTTCCTTAGGCTTGCCAGTTCTGGGCCATTGCTCCAATCCCCATCCAAACCAAGCTGCTAGCCAAGACAAGAGTGACAGATGATGCCCAGATTAAATGCAAGAACAATGACGACTGCCACTTCTTCTGGCACGGCTCGCAGCACTCTGCGAACACATGCCGGTAGCTTGATTTCGCAAGGATTATGCGTCCAGGTTGTTGCTCAGAGACTTCCGACAGTTCTGGGTTGCAGTTGCGCCGCAGAATGCCATCTGTTTCGCCTGGGGCAGCTGAGGTTGTACTCGAGATGTGACAATCTCCTCCGAGAGCCCGGTGTCGAGGGCGTGCTGAAAGCCACTCCTCTGAAGATATCCGCAGGGACTGCAGGGAGGCCAGGGCCTCGGAGATCGAAAGCCCGCTCAGGCGGTACCTCGTTCGCCCATCTGCCTCGTGAACAACCCCGAGGCGGTGTAGAAGGGCAATGGAGTTGGGACCACGGGTCGAAGGCTTATCAGCCGACCTTCGTTTCCCGGAAGCCTGGGCGGCAATCCTACTCCAGCACCGTTGGGCATTGGGGCTTTTTGCAGTCTCTGCTTGGGGAGCTGAGCTGCATGGTTTCAAGCATGTCAGGTCTGTGACAACTCACGCTCCTGCGCCCTGCCCTGCCAGATGTGCTGGACCAAAACGATGCGACGCTACGCTCTGACCAGTGAGAAGCCACCAAGTGAGTTCCAATTCCTGCACTTCGCCTTGAGATGTGCTGGGCTTTTTTTTTGGATTTCGGGGGATGCCTGGAATAATGTCAAATAATGTGGGAGAGCACGAAGGCGGCCAAGGAGCGTTGGGGGTCTGCGTGGTCTGCTCTTTGCGACAAGTGCAGTTCTTGGATCCTAGCTGTCCTAGCTGCAAGTGCTTTGTTTTGCCAGTTGAGTGAGCAGACTCATGAAACGCTCAGGTACTGGAACCTGCATGCCCAGTGCGACTACATGCTCTTACTTGGACTGCCAGGGTTCTCGACCCCTCGGCAGTCTTAGGGCCTAGTGCCTCGCTGCATCCGCATTCCGGCTTTTTCAGGGAGGCCCACAGTCTCTGCGCAGGAGGCTGGGGAGTCAGCGGCTGCGCGCGGCCGTCCCACCGCACACTGAAGAGCCATCGCTGGGCTCACAAGAAGTGCCTTGTCTCTGAGAGCAGAGCATCTTTCAAGGCGAGTCAAGGGACCATGCAAGCTTAACCTTCCACCAGTGGTAATTGGATTGTGAGATATCAGAACAACACATCGTCCTGCCGAGTTTACTTAGAATTCGGTGCATTCAGCCCTTTTGGGGATAAGCCGGCTCAGCACCACGAGATTTGCAGTAAAGCTTTAGGCTCAGTGGCTCAGTGCAACTCTTCCCATCAACATGACCAAGCCGTTCTGTCAGGAGCGAGGTTTGTGTCTAATTTCCTCAGGGAATCGCTGCTTTGCAAGTGTCCGTTGCTGTGAGGCTTTTGCCTGAGGAGTTCGCTCATGGCACAAGGCTGAAGGCAGCCACGCCCTGCAACCAACAGGTAGATTGGTGTTCTAGTCTTTGGATCGTTACGTCTCTCTCCCCCCCTCTCTCTCTCTCTCTCTCTCTCTCTCTCTCTTTGTGTGTGTTCGCAGTTTGCAAAGACCTTCCTGCTCTTCCTTGTTGGGTTTAGGGTTGGTTCAATGCTCCCTTCGCGATCGTTGCTGGGCGTGTTCAGATTCAGGTTTGGACCCAGCCCAGTATCACAAGAAGGCCGCCGCCGAAACTATAAGATTTCAATGGACGCCGCAAGGCCACATGCTGGAACGAGCGGTACAAGGGCATCCGCCTGGGGATCCGCGGCAACGAGGCCATACAGATTCTAGAGTCTTTCGTGCTTGTTTGGCTGTTGTTGCCGTTTGTTGTGCTGTCATTGCCCTGTTGCGGAAGCTCATCGGATTATTACAGGGACCCCGCAAGATCAGAAGCTCAATATGAGGATTTGACGAGAAGCACCTGTTTACAGGGATGTTTCAATCTTCCGGAACCTGTCGGTTTTCAAGCGAGAGGTGCCAAGGGCTATCCTCAAGCTTCTGCGAGGGCTCCAGCGGCACTGTAGCATTGATAGTGGTGGACGTGCGCCATTCAAGAAAGGAGTAAACAAAGGAGGGCAAGTTGGGACAAATGAGAACTGCGCCAACAGGCCGGCGGGCCACTTCGGGAATCTGCCTGTGGAGTGCTGCCTAGTCATGTTCGACAAGTCTACCGAAGCCACGCCATCCGCACCCGAACTTTCCATTCGCGCATTCCGGATTCCGGACTCGGCATTTACTCGCTCGCTTCGCTTCAGGTGGCTACCTGCGTAAGCGGCCCGGGCCCCTGGCAGAAGGGTTTCTTGGGGGGTGCATTGTGATCGCTGCTCAAGCATCCTGGGCACACGCTCGAAGATTGCGCTGCTTGTGTGCTGTTGGGGTGAGCCAGCCGGAGCTCCCAAACCAGGCAGCTGGTTTAGTTCGAGCAACCTCCCCGGCTTCGGCGACTTCTCCTGTGTGGCCTGCGTGCAGGCCCTCACTGACACTGCTTGTCCCAGATCACACGGAAAGTCTGCGAGGCAGCAACCCACGTTGGCGGTTCGCATGAAGAGATGAAGAGCTCAAAACAAGTCCTAGAGGTCGGCACGAGTGGATTCGGCGATGTGGAAACCAAGCGGCAGCAGGACCGGAGCTGTCGAAGTTCGGCGGGGTTCTCTCTTGAAGCTGGGACGAGCAGAATCTTAATTATCTTGTGTCACACTGGGATTGTTCTGTTCGCTGCGCAGGGCGGAGGTGTGGTCGTCCAGAATTGGACTTGATAGCGCTGCAACCCGCCTTGACCCCGAAGCTCCGTGATATCTGATGTCAGGAGCTGTACTACTTCAACAAGCTGGCACTGTCGATACACAGTGAGGCGGCTTGTGAGGGGATGGTCCACTTCACAAGTCAAGCATTCTCGATGTACGGCTGTGAGACACTGTGGGCTGTGCCAGGTGAATCCCATTGCCGATGCCAAGGTGGGCTGCTTGAGACATGTGTCACCTGAACTCCTGAACCCAATCGGCTCTGAACTGTTGGATTCCAAATCGACCAGCTCGAGCTTCTCTCTCCGTGCTCTTTCAAGTCATGCCCCAAGGCTTTACGAATTGTGGGGCTTTGGGAGGGATTTGCTGCCTGGCTGGTGGCTGAGCCTCGAAGAGCTTACAACAGCCCCTCCCACCAAGAACATGATCTATGCTCTTCTGGATCAAAACCGTCCTGTGGGCAGGTGAACTGCATGGAGCCTGTTCGCCCCAAAGCAGGTCAGGAGACCTCGCTTCCTGAGGAGCGTCGCAAGTCGCACGGGCGTTTCCAGACCTTTGATCCCGAGACCTTCTGAACCGACCTGCCCTCCTCGCCGTGCAAGGACCTGATGAAGGTACACACTTTCGACCTCAAAGGCTTGCCCGGGGCTGCTCGGATGAGGGGAGAGCAGAGTTGGCAACGAAGAGAGCCTAGAAGTGTTGCCTTCAAGCACGCTGTTCGGATGTCAAGGTGTGGTACACCGCTTCACATGCAGATGGCGCCTGTGCAAGATGTGTTTGACCATGCCAAAGTCTATGTGACTATGTGTGTTCTCATGTGTCAGTCCGTGATTGCTTTCTCCGGAACGAGGGCCTATAGAAACCTTATGCAACTTGATATTCATCATCCGTGATGAATTTACCATCAATCTTCGGAGATCACTTCATGACAGGGCACGACTTCACGATCATGAACGATGTGATTGGTGAGACAACGCTGTGGGCCAACAACGACGAGGCAAGGAAATCGAGGGCGTGGGAGGCTCACCGCTCTCGAGCCTTCTTTCCAAAGGGCCCCTGTCCTGCTCTCGCACCAGTCAAGTTTGAGAGCTGTCTAGCCTGGCTTGGGAGGCTTCGAAGAAAAAGCGTCTAAGCCGCAAGCATGCCTCTACTTCCCGGTTACTTCACCGGCCTCGCCAGTGGAGGCCCAGACTCCTTGGCAGGGATACGGAAGCGCCTGTAGCTAGGTAACACGGCGGCCCAGGTATACTTTCCAGAGCTTGCCGGAGGCTTTGGCAGCTTGCGCCAGAGACAGCAAGTGTTGGACACTTGCCCCAAATTTGAGGGTGCGGAGTGTTAGCTTGGCGTGCTTGACCTGCCAGTCAGTGCCGGATGGGGCAGGAGATGGCAGGAGTTGTAGTGTAGGTTGGCCACCGTTGAGAATATGGGATACTTGGGGAACGCGCTGAAGAGAAGCTTGAATCAAGCCATGTGAGGGCAGAGCTTTCCGGAGTTGGCACTTTATGGCTGATCTCTCTTTCCAGCTGTGCTCAAGCTGCAGGTCCCAGATACAACCCATATCACCACGACAGAATCGCCCGTGTACCAAGGTTCGTGTCGCGGTCCGAGGGAACTCAGGTCGGGCCCGGCTGCGTTTGCTTCCATTGAGGTTTCTGGGTTACTGAGTCCTGGCAGCGGCTTTGCGGGTCTCGCCTTGTGAGGCGGGCGGCTCACTTCGCAGGTTCGACATGCGTGCCGGGTGCCATGGACCCAAATTACGTGTCGGTTTGCCTGCAGCATGTAATTCTCTTTGTAGGATGTATGTAGGCCTATGCAGTACTGTGTAACAACATTCCAGATCGTATGGGATGCTATGCTGCTCTACAGCGTATTATGAGCATTCAATCGCACGCTATGGAATGCAACAAGCTAGAGTGGCAGAAGAAGAGGGGTATAGTAAGATGTGTTCATGCATGTTGCATGTTACTTCCCAATTTCAACGAACATGTGGCGTAACATAATATTGTAGCAAAAAAGCACCGCAAATGATACCATGCAATACGGCGCGCCATCTTAACATGGCAGCATGAACAGCTGCCCATCGAGTTTCCAGTGGCCATCGCTCTCATCGTAATGCAATGTCGCAATATCCTGGGTAGCTAGCTCACCATGACCCACATGGCAAGCTGTGAGAGCATCCAATGAAAGTACTTGCATGATCCCTACACTCTGGCGTCACTCATTGACTCATGGCATTACAACGGAATAAACCGGAATCTGCGTTCATGCTGACACAAACACCGGGTTTTCATTCGGTTGTTTGGTTTCTGGCTTTGGGTTGAGTCCACCGTATTTGCCGTAACGGGAACCGGCCGACCGTAACTCTGTAACAGAGCCGTGTAGCAGAAACCTGCCCCGACATCGTAACGCAAACCAGCTGGTTCCTGTAACAGGGTGGGGACAGCCCCTTGTAACAGTAGCTGCGGTTTTGGGCTTAGGGTTTGCAGCGCAGGTTTTCGTAGTTTGCGGTTAGGGTCTACACAGGCGTTAGGACGGTGTCCGCTTTAGAGTCCGTATGGTGTTTCATCGGATGTGGAAGATATCTTTGGACGTCCTCCTTTGCCTGCCCTGCCAGACCGTTTTTCGGTCCCGTACTTTGTAAGCATCAACTCCTCCTGCCTGGTTTCCAGAGGTAGTTCCTGTCACGCTGGTCGTCTGGTTGCTGTTGCTGCGGCCACCGTTTCGGTTAAAAGTTCGCGAGATCGGTTTCCGTTACTCCCAAAACGGTTCCCATTACTCCCCGTACCCTTCTAAACCACTGGTGCTCTACGATCACCACCCCCACCACCCCGCTACCCCCAGCAACCCGACCATCTGCACCACCTCCACACCTCCACCACAAGCCACAAACCACCACCAAAACCACCACTAACACCAAAACAACCGCCGCGACAACCGCCATCAGGAGCATCACCATCAGCGTCATGACATTCACAGATTCACCATCACCATCACGATGAAGAAGAAGATGATGACATCGTCATAATCATCACCATCCCGATCCTTGGCACCATCATCGTCATCATCATCATGATCATCCTTTCATCGTATTCGTCACCACCCTCACCATCATCGCTGTGATCACCGCCGTCATCATCATCATCATCGTCATCATCATCACCATCATGATCATCATCACCACCACCATCATCATCGTCATCACCATCATCATCCTTTCATCGTTATCGTCATCGTCACCTCCCTCACCGTCATCGCCATCATCGCCGTGATCACCGCCGTCATCATCATCATCGTCATCATCACCATCATGATCATTATCATCACCACCATCATCATCATCTTCTTCATCGCCGTCACCACCATCGCCAGGGGACCCTATTGTTTTTGGTCCTTTTTTTTCTTGGCCCTGGGGCGGGGTGGCGGGAAGGAAGGCAGGAAGGAAGGAAGGAACGAAGGAAGGAAAGCGGGGAGGAAGGAAGGAAGCAAGGAAGGACAAAGAAGGAAGGAACGAGGGGAGACGGAAGGAAGGAAGGAAGGCAATATGAAGAATCAGAAGAACAATAATAGCAAGACTACTGGTAATGATAAGCAGATTTATATACTATTATTAAATCAGCAATACTAGCACTAATACAACGTCGGGAAGGAAGGCACTATGAAGAATCAGAAGAACAATAATAGCAAGACTACGGGTAACAAAAAGCAGACTTATATACTTTTTATCATCAGCACTACTAGTACTAGTACAACGTCGAGGCCTGTAGGAAAAGCAGGAGAACGTGCCGAGTCTTTACACCCGCGTTTAAATTATGATGTGCTTCCGACGGACTTCCTTGTGCTGTTTTCGAAGCCACTCACTGGCAATCGCCCGCGCAATCGGTAAAAAGTGCTTCTGCCTAGACCCTACAGTATTTTTTTTGGTGAACTGTAGTTTCTCATAGGATCCAGATAAACATGGAAATGCGCAGATCCACTGCCCACCCGGCACCAAAAAAGAGGGCCAAAATAAACAAAGAAATGCCAAAAAAAGTTCCACCCCCATCGCCAGCATGATCATCATTACCGTCACCACGATCAGCATCATTATCATGTGTAGTTTCGTCGTCATAACCGTGACCACCCTCATCCTCGTTATCGTCACAATCATCATCGTTGTCATCTGTCCTTATTCGTCATCATCCATCGTCATCACCGTCATCATATGATTACCTTCCATCACCATGTATCAACATCGCCATCGTGACCACGCAGCCGCCTGTCATATTAAGACATGCCAAGGAACATGGTCAGCTTCGTTGGCGCGAAGACTTGGGTGAAGGCACGAATTCATCCTTGGAGGGCCATCGGGCTATACTTCCGCTGACACAGGCAGTTCTTTCTAAGTCTGACCCAGCCTTCTTCCGTCGCAATCAAGACCGGTGCGTCAAGACTTCCCCTCGAAATGCTTCCCTGCCCTTCTCTCGCCTTGCAGTCCATCGCGAATCCTTGTATCGGCAACTGTGCCGCTCTGAGGTGCCTCGGGCATTGATTATGAGGGAAGGGGATGAAGCCCCCCAGCTCAGGGAGACGAACACGCTTGCAAAAAGAATTCCTCCGATAAAGATCCCTAGAAAGTTAAACTGCCGAGGCCAGTGAAGTGCGGCCCTGGTTTTGGGGCCTGCGGTAAAACCCTGGTGGATGGCCGCAAGCACGGACACCTGTGCCTCGGTCTGAGGGCGGAAAGGGAAATCTAGCCCGGTTGGAGGTCCTCATGGCGTTGTTCCCTGCCTTCCTGTGAAGGTCTCGAGTAAGCACCTGTGCTGCCGTTCTTTTCATGCAGGATGGGACTGAGCTTTTTCCCGCAAAGCTGGCATCTAGCGCAAGAGGGTCGCGAGATGCTGAGGAAACGAAAGACCTGCACCGACTGAGGTGGACCCAATCCCCTCATGCAAGCTCTCACCACTGCCACCAGATGAAGTGGGTCCAGGCCAAGCATGTTTCCACAGCCGGGGGCACCTGCACCGCCAAACTCGAATTTGACCCTTCCCTCCCGTGTTTACTTTTGACCCCTTGGAAATGAAGCCTTGGTCTTGGATGGACCCGACTTCGAGCTGTTGCCGAAAGATTCTAAAACTTTCCAAGAGCGTATGATTTACGCTTAAGCAAGAGCCATTGATAGCTATTGCTGACCCGTGGATATGAAAAAGATGATTCATTTCCGCCCTACCCACCCGAGCCTGAATCAACCTGTTGTCACTGCAGATCGACCTCGGATCGATCAAGGAGTTTGATCAGGTGAAGCTCTTTGGTCTCTTCGCCGCACCGCTTTTTTTTTTCTTCTTTCTGTGGTTTCCTGACACCACATGTTCCCGAAGGCTGCCTTTGACTACGGTCGCTTTGTGGGCATGTTTCGCTTTGTGAGGCAATGGCGGCAATAGCCAGGAAGGTTCCAGAAAGAACTGCTATCGGGTTCTAGAGACGTGCCTATCGCGCAGATCCCTGGGACCCGATTTAGCTCATGGTGCTGCACGATGGAAGCCATTCCAGTCAAGGCTACGCAGATGGGCGCAGATACTGTGGCCTCCCGGCCTGGGCAGAAGCATTGCTTGGGGGCTCTCATATGTGATCCTAAAGTCATAAAGTCCTAAATGAAGTTCCCAACCTTGTGCCATGGTTCCGATGGTTTGAGGGGAACTCGCAAATGAAATTCAGATTTTGCGAGCTCTTAGATGCTGGAGGCCACAAAATCCTGGTGTCCAACAACGAGAAAGACTGGACCGACAGATCGTCTTGCAGAGTATATCCTTGGCGGATGGGACTTGTGGAGGCTACAGGTTTGCGGGTAGGAGAGGTCCGTCTCTTTGCTTGGGTGGCCAGCGCTTTGCTTTCCTGGATTGGGCGTTGCCTCCGCATTCCTGAGAGTCATGCAACAAAGACCATGAAGTGTCTGGAGATGATGGCACCAAGCCTTCGTCTGACAAGAGAGGGAGCCTGATGAATTAAGCCTGTGCAGAGTACCCTCCTGTATGGAGGAATGCCGCAGCCTTATGAAGCTGCCAGCTTCGAAGGAGAACCGTGTACCACAACAACAATTGGAAGGCGAAGGAGCATGGCCATGGCAGCCTGTTTGCAAATTTCGAGCTTCATGTTGGGGGTCTGGCCAGCAGCACGCGTGATAGGGCTGAAGCAATTTAGCTTCGCTGGTTGGAGCCGTCAAGTCGAGCTTCCCAAAGAATTTAGCTTTAGACCTTGCCTGTCAAGCTCTTCTGCGCTCAGCCTCTAATGCATCGAGCTCGGCACGCCATGGTGAGCCAAGAGTTTGAATCGGTTTCCTTCCTGACTCCCTCGCCCATGACTTCAAGAGCCACCTGAGGTAACACCTTCAACCTTGGCTCACAAATCGTGCCTTGCGCTGCACAATAAAGCTTGGCTTCTTTCCTTCGATGCTTCATAGAGTTCGAACACAGGAGCAGGAAGAAGCGCAACTGATCTCTCAATGTTCAGGCTGTGAACACTCCACTCTGCAAGTAGTGGCCTCCCCGTGCTGCGTGGTCCGAGCATCCCCCGGCTGCTCTCAGGGTCGCTATGTGCGCATGTATGCCAGCAGGAACAACTTCAACGTCCCTGGGTGAAATTTGGTCTGGGTCCATAAGTATAATAATACGATGATAGCACCCCGAGGGTCTTGGCATTGAAGGTGTCGTTGTCATTGTGCTTTCAAGAGAGGCCGAAATCGACTTCGGGTGCCTGCACATTGTTGGCGTTCCGTTCCGGGCGTTCCGGGGTTGGCGTTCCGTTCGTTCCGTTCCGTTCTACTGCAATGCCATTGCCCGGGCATGGGCCAATGATTTTTAGACAGCTTGCAAAAATCATTTGCGCATCTCGAAGCTCCGAGTACAACTCGGCTCTCGCCAGTAAAAGTTGGGGGAACGAAATCGCGAGCGCAATGCAGGCTCGCCCCTGGACCTTGTGAATCATCATGGGACTTCCAAACGAAGCATTCGTCCCGTTCTAAATGATTTTGGGGACCCTGGACAAATCATTAGTGGGTTTGTCAAGCTTTGTCCATCCGAAGTTGTCGGGACA